TGGGGCATTATAGGGCATATGGGGTCTATGGGGCATAATAGGGGAAATGGGGTCTATGGGGCATTGTAGGGGATATGGGGTCTGTGGGGAGTTATGGGGTCTGTGGGGCATTGTAGGGGATGTGGGGTCTGTGGGGAGTTATGGGGTCTATAGGGCATTGTAGGGGATGTGGGGTCTATGGGGTCCCTATGGACACGTAGGGGACGTTATAGGGGAAGTTATGGGGACGATATGGGGCCGTGGGCTCCATGGGGACGTGGGGAGGATCTTATAGACAACATCATGGGCTTATAGGATCTGCAGACGTATGGGGACGTTATGGGGATGACGTGGGGACACTATAGGGTCTGTAGGGACATATAGGGGACGTTATAGGAACCCTCCGCTCGCCCCAAACACCCCAACCCCATTGGTGGGCCCCACCCTCGCTCATTCCCCCGTTGCCCTTTTAAACGTTTGCTCGCCACGCCGGATGTCGCCCGAACCGGAAGCGGAAGTAGTTCATCTTTCGCGTGGCACTGTGGGAAAGCGACGGCCGCTCAACGCCACTATGGTGGGGGGGAGGGGGGGGAGGGGCTGGGGTCTCCTTTTGGGGTTTCCTTTTGGGGTTTCCTTTTGGGGTCTCCTTTTAGGGGCCGCTTTGGGATTCTGGGGTCGGGATTTGGGGTCCCGTCGTTGGGGTTTGGGGCGGGTTTGGAGGTTCTGTGTGGGGCTTTGGGGGCTTTAATGGGGTTTTCTGGGGATTATTTGGGGTTTTGGGGGCTCCTCTGTGGGGTTTTGGGGTCAGCGTTGGGGTTTGGGGCCAATGTTGGGGTTTTGGGGTTTCCATTGGGGGGTTTGGGGCCAATATTGGGGTTTTGGGGTCAGCGTTGGGGTTTGGGGCCAATATTGGGGTTTTGGGGTCAGCACTGGGATTTTAGGGCCAATATTGGGGTTTTGGGGTTTCCACTGGGGCTTTGGGGCCAATATTGGGGTTTTGGGGTTTCCATTGAGGTCTGGGGCCACTGTTGGGACTTTGAGGGCTCTTCATTGGGGTTTTGGGGTCTCCATTGGGTTTTGGGGCCACTATTAGGGTTTTTTTGGGGTCTTTGGGGTTTTGGGGTCTCTATTGGGGTTTTTGGGGTCTCCATTGAGGTCTGAGGTCACTATTGGGGTTTTGTGGGCCCCTCATTGGGGTTTTGGGGTCTCCATTGGGTTTTGGGGCTGTCCTTCAGGTTTTGGGGGTCTCCATTGGGGTTTTGGGGCCACTATTAGGATTTTTTGGGAGTCTTTGGGGTTTTGGGGTCTCTATTGGAGTTTTTGGGGTCTCCATTGAGGTCTGGGGTCACTATTGGGGTTTTGTGGGCCCCTCATTGGGGTTTTGGGGTCTCCATTGGGGTTTGGGGCCGTCCTTCAGGTTTTGGGGGTCTCCATTGGGGTTTTTGGGGTCTCCATTGAGGTCTGGGGCCACTGTTGGGATTTTGAGGGCTCCTCATTGGGGTTTTGGGGTCTCCATTGGGTTTTGGGGCCACTGTTAGGGTTTTTTTGGTGTCTTTGGGGTTTTGGGGTCTCTATTGGGGTTTTTGGGGTTTCCATTGAGGTCTGGGGCCACTGTTGGGATTTTGAGGGCTCCTCATTGGGGTCTCCATTGGGTTTTGGGGCCCCTATTAGGGTTTTTTTGGTGTCTTTGGGGTTTTGGGGTCTCTATTGGGGTTTTTGGGGTTTCTATTGAGGTCTGGGGTCACTTTTGGGGTTTTGGG